ACTCAAGAGAGAGAATTGGATAGTTGGTAACTGCTATCTTGTATATATTTGTTTGGGTATTTTTTTGGGAAGAAACTTAGACTTACTCTTTGTTTCTTTTGGATATTTCTTTTTGTTTCCATTGAGTCTATTTTTTAAGTCTTCTTGATTCTTCTCTTTTTTTTTTGTCAGTCCTGCTTGGGGGTTGTTTTTCCTTAAGTCATTTTGATGCTTCTTGTTATGCATCAAGTTATTTAGTCTTATTTGTTTTTGTCTTGAATCAATTCTTGTCTGTTTTGATTCTTTTTCTATCAAGGTTCTTTTCAACTTGTTTTTGTCAATTCTTAGCTTAAAAGTGAGAAAAGTAGTTGTAGGTCTAGGTTTGAGCATGACTATCTATCACGTGAGTCTTGTGTCTGTTCTTGCACTTGGTTTTTAAGGATGTTTTATAGGATGTTCTAACATCCTGAGTTTGTGTCTTCTTTGTTTTGTTCAGAGTCTTTCAATTGTGTCTTGTGGTCTGAGTTATGAGCATGGTTGTGTCCCGTGCTCTGAGTTATCCGTAGTTGAGGTTTGGTCCTGTCAATTCTCACCTGGGAAGTCCAGGGTAGTAAATTGGGACTATGTTTAAGTGGGAGTAACACTTATATTCTTCCTCATGTAAAAAGTTTACATGTTTGACATGTAACTTGTGTTTGACGTGTGTGGTTCTTTATGTGGTATTGCTTGTGTGTAATATGTGCTTGCAGAATTTGTGTTTCCGTGTGTACATTTACTTTGTTTTTTTTGTCAATGTTTTGGTTAAAAAGGGGGAGTAAAGTGTTGTGTCCTGATGTTACATCACATGTCTTGACATGTTGATTTAACATTGTGATAAGATTGTATGCTACTGCTTGTGGGAGAGTAGTTGTGTGTTTGTGGTTGTTTATCAAATCATTAAGGGGGAGCATGAAGTTCATTCTTGTGTGCGCTGAAGCTATTGTTGCTACTGCTGCTTCTGTTGTGTGTTTAGCTGCATGTGTTCTGATGTGGGATTTTATCTTGAGGGGAAGAACTAATTATGTGTGACATGGGGAGTATCAAACACGTCTGTTTGTACAAGCTCTCTGAGTTGTGTTGTGTTTACACATTTTACATGATCAACATGTAGTTGGTGTTTATGGTCTTACTCCTCTCTCCAAGTGTAATTGGGACTTTTAGTTGTTTTAGTTAAAATTTGCCAAAGGGGAAGACTATTAGTTCCATATTTTTATGGTTGGCTAAATTTTGGTTAAGCATGGTTCTGAACATGGTTCTATGTTATTGTTGAGTAAGATGTTGTAACACCTTTATCAATTATCATAACAGTTTTACTGTTATGTGTTTTTCAGTCAGATGTCGAAGGCCGATGTCATGACATTTTGATCTGGTACTGCAGTACAACAGACAATGTTGTTTTAAATCTTGGCAGATTTGAATTGATTCTGGAATATTTCTTTTAGATATGTTTCAGTAAATTTCGCAGGTCAAAAAGATTTTAACTAGAACAAGGTTTTATATCTCCAAGATTTGTATTGGGACAACTTAGGAAACTTTGTATTGTTTGTTCCAAGATTTAAGGAGATTTGCTACACAATTGGTGCATCACTCAACTTGTGGATCAAGAAACTTCTAGATTCAGAATATCAAATCCCATGGACTACAGAGTTGTATTTAAAGGGGAATCCTAACCTAATGTAATTTAAGTTTTCAACAATTATAAAATTATGGGAAGCATAAGTCTTAGGTTTTGAGAGTCTCCTGTGTAGTTTTGTAAGTAACCCATGTATCTTTTGATAATATGTGGTAGACTGTTTGTTACTTGACTATTAATCAAGTTATTATTCTCACTCAGAAGTCTTTAGGAAATACGTTGAATATTATTCTCAATCGAAGCTTTTAAGAAAGAGATTGAGTTTTTATATTTGAAGTATAATCTTCTAAATTGGGTTGTAATTGCTACAGTCGTTGAGATTGAGACTGTTAGATATCACTGCAGTGATTGAAGGTGAGATGGAGATTTCTCATATCTAGGAGGTGCCTAGGAAGCAGTTGCACTGGATAGGGATTAGGCGAGAAGTTGTAAACGGGGGAATTTAGCTTTGAACTAGTACTACTAATAGTGGATTTCCTTCCTGGCTTGGTATCCCTCAGAGTAGGTGAATTTAAACCGAACTGAGTTAACAACTTCATGTGTTATTTAATTTTCTGCAGTTTTTATTTATGTATCACTTATAACTTGAATAATATGGTCTACTACCCGATGTTATAACATTTGTCTTAACATCATTATGATGTTGGGATATATGCATGTTGCATGTACCAGAATTTCAACTAGTTCTAATGTGAATTTAACCTTCACCCTCATGCATCGATTTGAGCCAATTCCATCCTTTACTTTAATCAAATTCCATATCCTTACTAATCACAACCTAGTTCTCATTTGATGAGAATAACTTATAGGTGTTGGACAAGTGACTCCAAACACAAGAGACGGAGGTGAATTGAATGGGTTTGAAAAAAGATACTCAAATAAAAATCTTTGATAAAATTATAGTTTCAAAATAAGTTGATAAAGCAAATATGGTAAAAGCAGCGGAATAAAGAAAATCAGAATAGAAAGAAAGAAATACAACAAAATTAAATAAATTACATAAATATAAAGAGATAAGGCATGGGAGAAAATCACCATAGATTCATAGAGATTTGGCCCAAAAAAGAGAATATTGAAAAATATTTTCAAAACAAACTCTCTAATCAATTATAGTCGGGGCTTAATAGCTTAGATCTTATAAAAGATTGAGATTTGGCATGTTTCTTATTAGTGAGTTGATTTGTTTGAGTTTTGGAAAAGATACATATTGATCTCGCCTGAAAGTTTGAAATAGAAATAAATTGTAATTAATTATCCCTTAGGTCTAGTCGATTATCAGACTACTTTCATCCTTCCTTGCTTCTTTTGGACATTGGTAGGAATTTGGACTTGATTAATTGCTTTTTGCATCTTATACTTTAACAATGCACCCATTTGCCTAGATATTACAATTTTTGCTTTGCACACTTTCTAAAGCTTAGCTCAAGTTAAAAAACATGTTAGTGATAAAATAATATTCACTAAGCATGAAAAATACCATTTGCTAGATAATTTTCTCGAAGTTTTCCGATTCAATTTCTATCAAGTGATACCTCTAAAATCTCAAGATAGCATGAAAAGTACCATTTGCTAGATAATTTCCTCCAGGAAACGACAAATCACTATTAAAATTCCATCTCTACAAATTTCTTGATATGAGAGCAGACTAAAACAACATAAGAAATTATGCGACCATCAACAGTCGTTATACTCCATAACTCAGACAACCACGACTATTAACCACCACACACACATATATATATATATATATATATATATATATATATATATATATATATATATATATATATATATATATATATATATATATATATATATATATATATATATATATATATATATATATATATATATATATATATTGTACAACTGCTCATATTTTTGGCACAACGATGACTATATTTATGTGCACTAATTATTAGATATGTCAAATGAACATCACATCTTTGGGTTACTTTATAATATAAACTATTGAAGCTGTGTGCATTAGTTATTTGATATGTCGCATGCCATCACATCTTTAGGTAGCCTATAATGAAAACTATTGGAGCATTTGTTTATGCATATAAAAACAATTAATATGGTAATCAAAATTGATAGAAAAACGATCTTAGAGTTAGTCGATGGCCCCTTGGTCAAGGCAAAGTTAAGCAATTACAAAAAAAACCGAGTGTGAGCCAACCTAGTATTTTTCAAGTCTATCATAGTCATCAAGATTCTATATTTAGTCTAACTCTTAATAGGACTGGATAATTGAACTTTATGGGTCATGTTTCATGTTTTGAATGTCACTAACCAAAGGAGAAAAAGATGGAACCATGAGTTAGAAGAGTTGCTCACTCATGGATGGAGTGAACATAACACACCAAGAAACAAGAGACATCAATCAAATATGGAATGTCACTTATCCTAAAAATTGAGGGAGTGATCACGCACTATCCATATAAATAATCGAATGAGATGTTATGATTGGTAAAATAATTTTCTTTATAAATAGGACGCTTTGTAAATTTCAATCAAGATCCAATAAGACTATTTATGCACTTTTTCTTTATTTTTATGCATTTTTTAATCTAAATGGTTTAATTTTCCAGATCTATATTTAAGGCTGTTTGAAGTAGATAAGAAACATATAGCTAAGTAAATAAAGTTTCTCCGTCAACGCGGAAAAAAAGAAAAGTCATTATTAAGATCTAGCAACTAAATCTCAAGAAATCTTTCAAAATTCAACCACACACAGAGAGAACGAGAGAATAAGGCTATAACTCAAAATTGTTGGGTTGATTCTCTTGTTTATGAGTTTCCAAATGCAATAGTCGGGTTTTCTATATATCTCCACAAGTCTGAACCCTCAAAATAAGAGTTTCTCATTAAATAGAGCTCATAAATGCACACAAGCACATTGTTATGAGGTACGGAGAAATTGGCTTGCTTGGCACGTTGCTTTCTCAAAATCTCTTGTGAGGGTGACCTTTTAGCTTCAAACCAGTTGGCATCAGTTTATATTCAAAATTGTAAAAATATCCCTATACAAACATAAATTACTTAAACAAGTATTTATAGATCTGAACATGTAGATTAAGTATTATCGATTAACAAATCAACAACAGATACTATATGCATATATTCAGAAGAGCACCATCATTTGGTGAAATGTAATAAATACGAAGAGAAAATGAAGTTTCTAACTCTGCCATTGCTGTACAGGGAAAATTGTGGAAGAAATCCACATATTTGGCTGAGTAACATAAAAGTAATGCTTTATACTAAAAATATACAGTTGAAAAAGTTTAGTATTATTGAAAAAATCTACCTATTTCCTATCAACTTTCTATTTCTAACTGCCCTATCAGTTAAAAATGGCCATCAACTCCAAAAGCTTATCAAATTTGGGGAGTTTCCTGACCGCAATATCACCATAAGCATCCTTTTGCTGCACATCCACATAATTTGTAGTTCTCAGAACCTGAAAAATAATAGACAGCAAACAAGGATTAAAGTAACAGTAGTGATGCAAATCTTTTCATATCATATACTTATCTAAAACATATTAAACATACCAGTACTTCATAGAATAGCCTGGCCGATTCTTTCCGGGTTCGTCCTTGTGAAACTTGTGACAAGTTCACAGAGTCAGCCTCTTTATGTTTCTCTAGATGTTGAAAATTCTTGTGCAAGTAAGATGCAACCTTCCTGTATATCATCATAGAAGACAAATTAAGCGCCAGTATTGCAACACAATAATAGAAATCTCGATACTCAAAAAGCCAATAACCGTCTCACCTTGTTCTCTCAGACCACCCAGCTGCCATAAGGAAAATAATCAAGAGACCGTGCAGTGTTAGACAGGCCATAGAATTTAACAAAAAATATTACAATTTATAATTCAAGATTTTATGGAGTTCTTACACATTTTGGAATTCTCAGTTTCAGATGAACTTATCTCCTGCAAAAAAAACATAACATAAGTAGGGATAAATCACTTAGTTCATAATCCAGGATTAAACAGAAAACAATATAACAAAAAAAGTGATTTCTTAACTCAAATAAATAAGCTTGGGAATAAAACAACATTGTAAGAAGCCACATATATAATACGAAAGTATTTCTTCATTACTCTATATGGTGTTCAGATATGACCAGCAGCAGTCCGTTGATGGACTAGGAGTGGTCAACGACAAACACAAGCCCCCATAATGAGACCAGGCGCCGATTGCCGCCCGGACAGCAGTGAACCATATGCTCGCAGTGGCTAATCCCACGCAAACTACTCAAGAATAAATGTGGAACAAAAGGAAAACTCAATAGATGATATCTGTTACCTCATTGATCAGATCAAGATCTTCATCCGTTGTGAAGCTTTGCTCCTTCTCCAATGTTTCATATGAATTTGAAGTCTCGGCATGGTTTTTCTATAGGTTAATTGTGTGGAGACAATTACGGATGTATTAAAAAGTACTTGTAATATGTTAAACATCAATAGAACTTTCAAGAATTAGTTACTCATTACCTCTTCTGCCATAGTGTCACTCTTTTCTATAGATTGCTCCATCTCATTGGGACTTGAAGGCATAAAGTCATCTGAGTTCTGAACTTCAGTTTGCGCTAGAGGCTTAACTGACCGAACATTTGCATCTTGGCACAGAAGAGGAGTAGTTTTTGGAGCAGCTGCTATATTGTCTGGACTACCAGAAGTTTGATAAACAGACACATCTAACTTTCTAACAGTTTCCTCATTTCCAACCGAATATGAGCACTGTGGAGGGATTTGTGGTGCATTTTTTATATGCTCCAGAATGCCTACAACTTGGGATCCAGGCACATCTAAACTCCGTGGCGTTTCCACAACTTTCAGAGAGTCTGGTATTTTAATTTTCTTAATCGACAATAGAGACTGGAGCTTTTTGGAATGACCTGCAGCAATGTTAGTAGTAAAGATGTAAATTTTATAAACAAAAAAAAAATTATGAATTAAAACTTACAAGGAAACAAGGATTCGTTAAATCTATCTGGAAGACTGGAAATTTGAGATTTCCTTTCTTTATCAAGCAAAGAGAGAAGTACTGGTCTTCGGACAGCGACTAAGCCGCTTGCATCATGGATGCGCTTTTTAAGTTCCCTGAAATGATTCAAAATGCAGTGTGTTAAGTCATAGTGAGTTGCTTTTCTAGCCATCTTTTACAGAGCCCAAATTATTTAGTGCATTTTTTTCTTTTTTGAAATGTTTTATCATAACAAGCATGCTAATAAGCTCTAGCTTTAAGGGGTAATTTTAAAATAAATAAATAAATAAACAAAATTCATAGTATCTCGTGTGTATCTTAAAGTAATAAAATCGTAGACTATATTAGCAGAAAAGCATGGTTGAAATATTTTCTATATTTATTATCACATACTTGTTTGGTAAGACTATCCTTTCATCAAAAACAACTTTTCTTTTCTTTGATAATCGGCCACATTCTGTTGCATCAGGTGTAGTAATTAGCATAGGTTCTGATGTTGTAGCACCTGCCAAAATAGAATTTTAAGTATAGAATGAAAATAAGTATATTAATGAACTAAATACCTAAAATGAAGAAAAACATTTAGCAGTTGCATTTTCAAAGATTCTATAAAACAATGATTTTATTTTTATAAAACGTGTTTTGGCCTTCTGATTGAACCACCTTGAAACTTTGACTGAGGAGTAGCTTCAATAATTGTCGACACAGAAGGATTCACACTAGATTTTGCATCTCCAAATGAAACCTTTTTTGGACATGCTAAATTTTCTTCAACGCAATGCACTTTAATAGACCCTTCAATGAGTTCTCCGACACTCTCTTTGACAAGAAAAGACTCGTCATGATGAAAATTTTCTTTTGGATAGGATTCATCATCCCGAGACCTTTCTGTACTTTCTTGAAAGGTTATTGCTTCACCAACATTAACAATTTCTTCATGCATTTGAGACCTTTCTGTACTTTCTTGAAAGGTTATTGCTTCACCAACGTCAGCAATTTCTTCATGCATTTGAGACCTTTCTGTACTTTCTTGAAAGGTTATTGCTTCACCAACGTCAGCAATTTCTTCAGGTATTTCGCATAACAGTCTTAGTGTTTCCTTTAAAGTATTAAGCTCGTCAGCTTTCTTATTTTGTCTTCCCAAAAGAATACTGAAATCGATTGATTGCTCTTGAGAGATTCTACTCTTTTCACGTAACTCATCTTCATATGGCTTAAATTTTTGAGAGATAACGTTGCTTTGCAATACATCCTTGCTTGCCAGTACATTAGTTGAACTGCTCGATGGAAAAACTTCAAAGTCAATGTTCGTAAATTGAGATTGAAGAACACTGCAAAACATATCACAAAATCAATAAGTTTAACAGAGAAGATATGCAATGATTCCAAAAGATATTCAACAACATGAATTCAAAATGTTAAAAAACTCAAAAAATTGAGAAATGTACTTTTCCTCCATAAGATGCCCAAGAGAGCTGCTAGCTTCGCCACAACCAAAATCATCAAACTGCAAATCACAAAAACTAAGATTTTAAGAATTGCCAAATCAAAGAAACAAAATAGAACTGTTTCCATATTAGCTTAAAGTCACCAAATCTATTTTTTTGTAAATTTAAAACAATTAAGAACATGAAATCAATGAACTTATAATATAACATCTTAAGGCCTCAATTGAGAGATAATTTAATTTAACTGGGTCAACCAGCCATTCATTCATTGATGGTTCTGATCTACTAAACATACCTTGCAGATTACTTCAAACACATCTGACCATAGTTATAGTACTGTTATATTAGTTCGCCATCTAATGTATAATTTCCAACTTTATTAAGTAATCACCCATTATATTCTATAGATGTTGTAAGAAAATTGTTATTAAACATTTTCTGCTCTTGTTTTGGCTAAATAATATCCTATAGACTTAAATACCATTTTCTGCTCTTGTTTTGGCTAAATAATATCCTAGTTTTACACTTTTTCTTCATTAAAATCTCTCTTATTGACTCCTATTCGTTGAACCAAACAAACCCTAACTATCTCTCCAACTAATGAATCAATTAACTAATTCTGTATCTAATTACCTAAGTCTATTAACCAACGTTGTCAAACTCTTGAGTTAACTCTTAACCTCTTACGAGTTTACGATTCATTACAGAAACTGATTTGGACAAATATTTGCACAGAGCCAAAGATAAACAAAAACAGTAACATTGAGAAAATAAGATGGAAAATGCACCATTCAGATACTACTCAAACGATTGAAAAACTAGAATGCAAAACCAAGTAAGAACTATGGACACATACCGTCTCATGAGAAAACTTTGTGAATCCCCAAGTATCAGGCAAAACCTCTGTTTCATTTCACGGCATATTACTTAAACATTAGGACAAGATTAAACATACTATGAAAGGAAAGTTTTGAAAAGACTTAATACCTTTAAGAGTAATTTGTTCTGGGGGAGCAATATGGTATCTGAAATCGACATAAGACATGTAATGAAACACTTACAAACCAAAAGAAACTTCCCTAACCAATTAAAATTTTGAAATTAATGAAACCTTACTTGGAAGTATCTTCAAGTACACCAAGCTCGATAGCATCCAAATCAAATTTTTCCGGTATAGTAAAAGATATACCCACGGTTTTGGCAGGTGTGTTATTCCTTGTTGTACTGATCAAAAACTTGTTGACTCCAGAGAGTACTTTATTGCAATCATGGAGCATATACTCAACCTTTTTTGAGTATATTTTAACAACACCAAGAAGGAGATATGCAAGTACTCTGTAAGAAACGGCATCCATTTCATGATTCAAAATCCTGTCTGTAGAAGGTAAAAGTTGCAAAACATATTAGCTAGATTCCATAAAGAAGTTTATAATCAGAATTTAAAACATCCTTAATAATTTTTGACAAGACGACATAAAACAAGGAAACTAAAACTGAACATAAAAATATCATACTTCGAAAGAAACAAAAGGAATCCAATTAAAAACCAAATCCGATCAAACTTATCAAAATCAGATACAATGAGATAATAACTTATTATTAACTTCCTTTGCTTCATTCAGTCTGGATCTTTCCCTGTAGGAGATCTATCAAATTGACATATTTCAAATGTGACCCAGCAAAGCAAAATTAAAATACAAATGTTTCTCTTACAATGTTGGTTTTAAGCCTCACTCAACTCCAAAAGTTAGGTCTACAAATGAGGATTTGCCAAGACCGTATAACATGCAACTAATTTGGCCATATCTCCAATCGATGTTTGATATCTTCGAAAGCTAGCTCTACAGCTGAATATTGCCAAAGCTTCACAAGGACTAATTTGGCCATATCTCTGTAGCTAGTGTGTAATGTTAACCATTGCGGTTTCTGGATTTCTGCAAGGGTTGTGCCAAAAACTTAGGGTACTAGAGTCCATTTGCAAATGTACTCTCTCCTTTGAATCAGGATTGAAGCAACAGCTCCTCAAAATGAATAGGATTTTAAAACATCCATTATCAACCTAATGTACACGTGTGTGTTTATATTATTAGCATTATAAATTATAAGAGAATTTATCTCCAAAATTAGAGCTAATCATTTTGAACCAACCATGAGTCAATCAACACTCTATATGTGTCAAGTTCTTACAAAAAATGCTAACTTGCGGCCCTCTAGTCTAGAATGACTTGGTAAACATTCAAGTTAATTGATACCTCCATGAAAAGGCTTTCTTAATAAACAAAATGATAGTCAATGTGTAATGTCTACCAACTTGAGCTGCATAAGTTGTTTAATAAAGACATCTCGAAACACAGAAGAAAATCTAAACAAAAGATCTGAGAATAGTCTTTCATTTGGTTTGTTTCATGTTCTATTAAGCTACTGATTATTAACTTGTATATATCTCTATGTTCAAACACATTCGATAGAGATCAGATCCATTTTCTTCAAAACCATCTTCGTTTTTAACAAACAATGTGGCCACATCCATCATTACAGATCTTCTCTAACATGAAAACTCAGTTCAAATAATAACCATGTAAATTTTTAAATATGTTTAGATCTCAACCCCAAAAGCTAGCTTCAAGGGTGAGATAGCCCTCACATATTTATATGTTCATCAGCCCGGAAACCTAAGCAATGTGAGACTCCATCAACACAAATACATATTCAACACCCACCCTCACACCTAGCGTGGGCGTGGGTCTGGGCGAAATGCCCAGATTGTTGTCCTTAGCTCGGCTCTGATACCATATGAAGTATACTTGGATCTCAACTCTAAAAGCTAGCTCAAAGGGTGAGGTTGTGCTCACATATTTATACATTTAAAAGTCCAGAAACCTAAGCAATATGAGACTTCGAACAAACACCAACAACACAAATAGATATTCAACAAAAATGATCTCAAAAAGTAAAATACTAAAGGGCATCTTAGGACAATTAAAATGATTCACAACCCCACAGATTTTAACTGACCAATCTGCAGAGTTACATCAATCATTTTACAAAAAACACCATTTGCAACCTATGAAGCACCGACATTGACATGTCGACACCGGTGATAATTTAAAAAATAAACAAATCAAACATAATCACAAGTATTAGTGCCGGTTTCAAGTATTAGTGCCGGTTTCAGATACCAACATTGACACAGACATACTTTTTTTCCGAGGTGTCTATGATTAAGAGAGTTTGTAACTAACCCTTTTGTGACCAATTTCACAAACATAAATAAACACAATAACAAAACAAAAAAAAAAGCATTCTTTTCTCACTCATGAGTCATACCCCTTTTTATCACAAATTTCCCAGATCACTTTCAAACACATAAAAAAATAAGTAACAATAAAATGAAGAAAAAAAAAGTCATTTTTCTTGGGAATAACCAAATTACACACAGAAAATTAAAAAAGTAATAATAATTAAAAAAAAAACAAGCAACCATTTTTCTTGCGTCTCAGTGAAGCAAATAAAGAATAAAAAACTGAAATTTCTTACTGAAAAATGAAATGTTGTTTACAGAACAAACACACAAGAAAAAGGGTCAGAGAGAAACAAGACTAACCCACAAAAGAAGAAATGTCAGCATAAAAAATTTGAGCTTTCTTGAGTTGTTTGAAAAAGAAAGCTGCAATCCACAAAGGACTTTTGCTTGAGCAAAAGCCCTTAGACTTGATCATTTCTGAGAATGAATTTCAGAATTCAGAATGAGAGGAATGTAGTATCACTCTGTGGTTTTTCTACTATGTATCAGCAACCTTGTATGAACAAAGAGAACGGTCGAGTGAAGAAGCCACGCCAAAAAACTACTCTTTATATTAACCACTTCAAAATATATTCAATAAACAAATACAATTAAAAAAAACTTTTTTTTAGTAAATTCCATTTTTTAATAGTAAATTTTTATTTTTATTCGAGTCTCCACGCAATATTCATCAGCATTATTTTAAAAATAATTATGATAAAAGTTATAGATTTTCAATACTTTATTGGATAGGATTGATTAATGTATAACCTTTTTTTTGTTGTGTATATAAAATTATAAATTATTATTATTTTAATAATAAGAAAAGTATTTACAATACAATGAATTTAGCTTCTTTTTTCTTTTTGATAATATGCATCATAATGTTATAAAATTATTTTTCTATTTTTACTATATTATTACTTCATTTATTATTAAATAATTTCATAAACAATTTGTTTTTAAAATTATATGTTTACTTTTTATTGAAATTTTATATAAATTTATAGAATTGATCTAGAACTTTCAACTTGACATGAAATTAATTATTTATAATAAATTATTAAATAAAACCAAAATTGATATATATATATATATATATATATATATATATATATATATATATATATATATATATATATATATATATATATATATATATATATATATATATATATATATATATATATATATATATATATATATATATATATATATATATATATATATATATATATATATATATATATCCGATCTCTTATAAATATATTATTTGTAACTAAAAAATATAAGTAGATCCTAAGTCTTTGGCTGATATGGAACAGTTGTTCCAAAGGCTCGTCAGATATATTTGATGTATGAGATCTTCTAGCAGTCGTGCCTAGCCTCAATTGATGTTTGTCTAGGCTTCGGTTGGTAATGCACCACTTTGATTTTGCCAAAGCGTTATGGAGATGGGAGCATTAGATGTGATTTCATTATTGAGACGTGTGACCTAAACATGAATGGATGAGACACAACTTTCTTTGTACTCGAGTTCACTTGAGCATGGTTTTCTTTCCCTATGAATTTTGATAGCCGATTTATCCTTGTTTTCTACTTTCGATTTGATCTGTTCGATTGCCTATGGCCACCAAAATAGTTAGAACTCCTTTTATTTTCAGTTTTGTGGATGTTGTGAAATGTTGATATTTGTAAATATATAGTGTTAAGAGTATTTGTATATAAAATAGTCTCACATCGACTATATTATGTAATTAGTTCTAACCTCTCTATATATAATAAAAGTCTCCATAGTGTTTTTCAAAATACACAGTTTAACCTAAATGTCTCTTAGTCTCTCTTAATTCAATATGGTATCTAGAGCCTACTAAGAGACAATTCTTCGTCGTGTTTTACCCTGTGGACCCACTGTCTTTCAGTGAGAATTTTATTTTGCAAAATGTGTCATCACTCCGGTTTGCCTCTCACTTTCCCAAATTCTCCAGTAACCACCCTGCCGCCACTACCGCCGTGTTACTGTTTCGGCAACCTTTCGGTGATGTTCTAGAAAATCGACCCCACCAACCAACTCGCCGCCCTCTGATCCGATCATCGCACCTTTCCCCACCGTCAGCAACTCACTTACGTGGTTCTTCCGTCGGTCAACTCGCCTCATTGCCCTCGTTCCAAATTCGGTCTCTGTTTTCATTTCGACTATCGGGAATTAGTGCTCCAATTCAAACAACCCTGATTTTTTGTTTCTTAATCCATGGGAAACATCGATTATGCCTCATTTACCAAAGTTATGCTTATCCCATGTTAAGAACTCACTGGATCAACCAACTATAACATATGGGATCGTGATGTCGATATGTGGTTTTACGGCCAGGGGTATGAAGATCACCTAACCACAAAATTGGTTGATGTTGCAACCGGCAAACTCACTAAATGGAAGAAAATCGATGTCTCTCTATGCATTGTGTTATAGTTTTCCATAACACCTAAAGGACTACTACCAGAATCCGAGTCTGTTCGTAACCAGATTTTATCAAGTACTATTTTTCCTAACTATGATGCAGTTAGTAAACAATTGTTACGCTTTACTACACCTCATGTGTTTTGTCCGATTTCCCCTCCATATATTTTTGCCCCGACACCAAGTGACACTATTGCCCTTGCATCTCTTGGCAACAATCAAAATCGCCTTCGAGGAGGGTCATCCAACTCCAAACCTCGTCCAAAGTGTGACCATTGTAACCGACTTGGGAATATTGTCGATCATTGTTAGAAGTTATATGGAAAACCACCACGCTAAGTAAATGCAGCTCAAATTGATAACCCAGACACTATGCAGACTTCACCTTCTCTTTAGAATCCTACGCCAAGCTACGAGGATTTCCTCAGGTGGTGTCAGACTAACCAGACCTCTGGTTCTATGACTTTAATTGCACACACTGGTAATTCATTTGTTTGCTTCTATCAATCATCTCATATTGGTCCTTGGGTCTTCGATTCTGGTGGGTTTGATCATGTTACTGGTAATATAGGTCTTTTCTCTTCCCTCTCCACCTCTAGTTTCTTACCGAGTATAATTATCGTAAATGGTTCTCAAACCCGATCCCAAGGGATTGGTACTGTTTAAATTATATCATCTTTCTCTATTACTCATGTCCTATATGTACATAATTTCCCATTTAATTTACTGTCAGTCAGTCGTCTAACTCATTTCCTTAATTGTTCTATCACTTTTACTAACAATATTGTTACCCTACAGGATTGGAGTTCGAGACAGACGATTGACATCAGATGTGAGTCTCAAGGCCTCTACTACTTCTCTATGTACTCTACCACATGATCCATCATAGATTCTCCACTATTATACATGTGCAGTTAGGTCATCCAAGTCTTCCCAAGCTACAAAAGTTGGTGCCCAGTTTATCTAAATTATCCATTTTACATTGTGAGCCTTGTCAGTTAGGAAAAAATACTCATAGTCACTTTCTTGATCAAGTTAATAAACGGGATGTGTCCCATTTTTCTTTAGTTCACTCCGATGTTTGGGGTCCCTCGCTTACCATGTCTACTTTTGAGTATAGGTATTTTGTAACATTTATTTATGACTTTTCACGTTGCACGTGGATATTTTAATGAAGAACAAATATGAATTATTTTCTATTTTCGAACAATTTTATCGCGAAATAAGAACCCAATTTGGTTTGTCTACTTGTACCTTAAGAAGTGACAATACACGTGAATATTTATCCGAATAATTTCAAACCTTTATGTCATCCAATGGTATTCTGCACCAAACATCTCGCCCTCACCCCCTCCTAATAAAACGGGGTAGCCGAACACAAAAATCGGCATCTCGTAGAAACCACTCGGACCCTAATTTCCCCATGGTAATGTCTCTCTTTAATTTTAGGGGGATGTTATGCTCACATCATGTTACCTCTAAATTGAATGTGTTATACCCTAATTTTTACCCCTAAGATCTCTCATAATCTCATTTTATCTATACATCAAGATTACACACTAGGGTTGTGTTGTACCCCAAAATTTACCCTCTCATTTCTCAAGAAATCACCCTGGATTCTCAAGTTTTCTCTTATACAAATCCAAGCTTTGAATTATCATTTCTTTCCAAGCAAGCCATTCACAAGGGCAAAATGGTCATTTACACGCTGAGAAGTCAAACTTTGACTTTTGGATCAAAAAATCAAATCTCAAAAATCATTTTTCATCAAGACATGTTGGAATATGAAGTTTTTTTCATCAAGGAGTTCAAAAGTCAAATTTTACCTTGGAAAAGTCAAATTCTAAATACTTAGAATTTTTCTAAAGTATTTAAGAAAAATGACACTTCAGAACTTCTGAGCCAGCCTCCAGGCAGGAGCAGTCAGAAGTTGTAAGCGTGGTTCAGCACATAATCTTTAGTCAGAACATGGCTTTTCAGCATCTACGCAAGTTCAGTAAGAGTTTGCTAGAGTAATGCAAAGAAGGAAATAAAGTGTAATATGAAGCCTGAAAGCTCCTTCAGAACATGCTGGGGCCAGAAGATAAGAGGATCAGAAGATTGGATGCTACGCTGAAGCAGAACTTCTGATCCAGAACTAAGCCTTGGTGTAGAGTTTCACGTTGCAGGATTTCTGGTTGTGATAAGTCTCATCATCATTTAATGCCCATTTAATTCTCGCAACCACCTTCTGAGTCTTTATCCAAAGGATTTTCACCACGTGTACCTCTACTGTCTTAGGATAGCAACTTTGCTGCTAAGCCCATGCTTTGCTTTTTGCTTTTCCTTAATTCCTGCAGACAGCCACCATGCTTACTTCAAAAACAAGGCACCGCTTCAGCACATGATGGTTATTTTCAACGCTTTGGTCAGAACTTGACCAAATCCCAAAATCTTTCTTATACAACTTACTGCAGACCTATGACCAACAGCTGGTTCAGCCTACGCCTGCATCCTATGATTACACCAAACTAGCATACGAAAACTGTGATGAAAAAGCAAAGGAACAGGATGCCAAAACGGGTTCAAATCCTTTTTTTTCCCCAAAGTCACAGCAAATTCATCTATAAATACTTGGCTCCATCACATGTTCAAGGGGCTAGCTTTTGGAAATAGGGAACGAACAAGAGAGAAAAATGGTTGTGAAACCTTCATAAAAATCTAGATTTCTCATACACAAAAACAAACCTTTGTTCCTCCCTTTGAATCAAAGAACATAACCACTGTTCTGTCACCCTTGCTGACTCAGAACATCCAAAGGCAACCACTTAAAGCTCCAAGCACGTTCCAGGTTCTAGGTAAGTCTTTCTGACTTTGCTTGGATTTCATTCTGAGCATAATTAACATGTAAATATCATAGTATTAATGTTGTACATATCATTGTATGAATAGAAAAACTATGGATCAAAACTTCTAGATTAATGCTAGGCTCAGACTTA